AATTATTACACTAAATAAAAAATAAAACTATTCTTGATATTGATATGATATGAGTAAATATCTCAATTTCACATGGTTTTAAAAAAGGAATTGACTATGGTGAGTCAAATGGATTCTAAGATGAATAAAAATGCATTCAATTTTATAAAATCTTTGAAATTGATGATTTTAAGAGTTAAGGTATATATATAACCAAAATGTACAGAAGAAAAAAACAAATATTTTGACAACTTATGTGGCCTTTATAAGCAGGGAGACCTGGTAACTAACAGGCACCTAACCTTAAAAACCCTATGGAAGAATCTCTTAAATCTTAATCAATTTTTTTGGTATCATTGGAAAGCTTCAGTAGTGACTATTATAGGTATACCTCAATAGACAGAAAATATTTTAGTCCTACTTATTATAAGATCAGATCAAAGTGAAAGGGGTTCCAGAAATTGGAAATTATGATTACAACTAAATTCCACTAAGAGAAAATGAAAATGTTACAATGAAAGACCCTCATAGAGCAAGGTACCTCCCAGTAGCTTCTTTCTCATTTCTTTCAGTTTCTTTAGTTTTCTTGTAGTCAGTTACAGAGACTAAGAAGCATGAATTTCAGATCATGTATTTATTCATAAAGAGACTGGATATTCCATGTGTTAGAAGAACACTCTTTCATCAGCCAAACTGAAGTGGACTTGCTATGATCTTGTAGAGTGGAGGGAAAATTTTTCTTTGTGGTTTTTGCTCAATGGGCTTATGTATCTTTACTTGATGCTTGTTTTTAAAATATTTAAATTTATCTAAAAATATGTAAGACCACAAAGAATTCTGGTGTCTAAATAGAAAGAAAGAGAAGACGAAGTCTAAGGTGATTAATTCAGTTGTTAGCTGACTCTCCCCAAAATAGCCAGTAACAAAATCACAATGGTTAGAGAAGCATGGCTGTAGTTAGGAGCATTTAGTTAAAAAGGAGATGATCTATAAGGGGTCAAACCTGTTTATGATGATCCTGCAGTTTGAAGGCTGATAATATCATTGTTTTGGGAGACCTTTCCAACTTTAGAGTAGGGGGAGACAAGAAAATTCAGACAGAAAACCAATGAGATCATTTTGCAATGCATACAATAATCCAATCATTAGGTTGCGCACCTAAAAGTAAAATAATGCTGCATGTTGATTAAAATTCAATACAACAAAAGTTTTGGAGTGCTCTTTCACAATATTATGAATGTACTTCACACTATAAAGTGTAGATTTAAAATGGTTATGATGGTAACCAAAAATACATGAGAATCATTAAATTAGACCGAAATAAAAACATTTTAAAATCAAGCTTCACCATTAAGAGCCTAAAAAGGTCACTGATAAATGAGAGAATATATTCACAATGCATATATCAGTAAAGGAATTTTTATAGATTATATTCTTAAAATCTTAGAAACCAATAAGAAAAGATAAGCAACTTAGTAGAAAATGGCAAAATTTCAACAGGCACTTAAAAAAAAGATAGTCAAGTGGCAAGTAATTATATAAACACTAAACTAAAACTCGAAATAACAAAGTAAAATATAGATGTACTATAATACATCTATAATAATGTTGGGGTGAAAAAGGCAAAAAATACCAAGTATTAATGAAGATGCATATTTACCGGGGAACTCTCCTACACTCCAAATGGAAGGGTAAATTGGCACAAGTTCCTGGCAAAAATCTTTTGTCAGTATCTACTTAACTTAAATACATGAATACCCCAGGACCCAGAAATTCAATTCCAAAGTTTATACCCAAAAGAAATGTCTGCATTTGTTCACCAAGAGACAGTTACTACAAATTCATAGCAGACATACTAGACAACAATTTGCAGTACTATTTGAAATAATCAAACGGCCAGCAACAGTAGAATGATGGAAGCATTGTGATATGTTCATACCACCTAAAAGACTACTCAACATTGGAATCAACTAATACAACTGCTCCATGAAGACTTTCCATTTATATTGATTCCATTCGTATGAATAATATCCACTTTGGAAGTCAGTGGGTTAGACGTCATGTGTTACTTACCTGAATGCTGGTTATATAAATATCTTCAGCTTGTAAACATCCGTCTTGATGAAAAAATGCATGTTCTTTTTATGAGTAGATTATGAATTAATTTAGAAGTTAAATGTATACATACTTAACTCATAAGAAAAATGTTCAGAATTTTCTTCTGTTCTTCCTTTTTCCACCCAGCTGCTGATAAAGTTCCATGAATAATGCTTTGAAACATTTTCAAAATTTTCCCAATATTTCTGTCTTCAATGCTACTTTGTGGTTTCTCTGCCTTCCAACCTGTTGATCTTTATTTGTTTATCTAGCAATATGTATGAAAACATACATAGTATGTGTCTGGAACTCTCTTTGAACTGATGATACATGATTGACAAAAATGGTATACGTGTTCTTTGTATACCATTGCACTATTGTCCTTTGTTCTTTATGCACTATTAGAAAAACTATCCTATAAGGAAACTCAATATGTACATATGATTTTTTAAAAAGATGTTATTTATTTATCTATAGAGGGGAAGGGAAAGAGAGAGGGAGAGAAATATCAATGTATGGTTGCCTCTCTTGCATCCCCTGCTGGGAACTGGCTTGCAACCCAGGCATGTGCCCTGACTGGGAATCAAACCGTGGTTACTTGGTTCCCAGGCCCGCACTCAGTCCACTGAGCTACACCAGCCAGGTGTACATATGATTATCGAAGCATTTTTATCGTGACAAAACTTTATGTATAAGTATTTAAAACCTGAAAAATCCGCCAAAGCCCATCAATTCAGTAATTATATTTTTTATATTATTGCTCTCTCTGTTTCCAGCCTTTTTCGTTTTTCCTTCTTTGATAAGATAACTCTTTCCCAGAATCCCCGCTACCATGCCCAATCCTGCCACTATGTTGATTGGCTTATACTCATCCCTTGGGGTTCAGCTGACACATTTTTATATCTAGAAAGTTCCTAATACCACAAGCACTATGGAATGTGCTGCTTCTTGGGCTTCAATTATATTCAATAATGCTTACTTGATATTACCAATAAATACTATAAAGGATTATTATGACCTGCCTGATTCAATTCCAAAAAAGTACAGCACTTAAAAGAATACATGTATTCAAAAGTAATATTTAAAAAAAATCAGTACTTTTTCCCCAGACACCTTTAGAAAATGCACAGTCTCCGAGCAACACATACAAATCTCCTTTCTTCCTAACCCTAGGGTATTGACCTGTAAACTGTAGCTGTTTTCCTCCAAAAATAACTCTTCTGGGTTTTGGCGTTGTAACCCTGTTTTGTCCTCCTCCCCTACCTCCTTTCTCACATTGTTTTGTCTCAAAAACTCAAGAGCTCATTGGACAAGCAGGCTTCCCATAGAGAAGAAAGAAACAGGTGAACGGAGCCAGAATTGTCTCTGTTATAAACAGGTAAGGAAAGCCTGGGACTGTTCTTTACTAACAATTGTTAGCCCGTCACACATGTGTTCTAACAATTGTGACTCCACTGTACAATTGATATTTATTGGACTGGTTCTCACTAGTATGTAAGTTTCTTGAGCTCAGGGGTTTTATCTTCACCATTCTTTAGAACACTGAGTGCACTTAAATAAATATGTGTTGAATGACTGATAGACTGAATTCTTTATACTGTGAATCTCATGTCATACATTTAAAATATAAGTGCCATAGCATTTTCATTGGGATTTTTGAGACTGAATTACATGTAATTTGACCAAAATAATACTATTTTATACAATGTGCATGTGTAAAGAAAATTTCAGTAAGGCTATTTTTTTTAAATTTACAGAAAGTGTAATATATTAACTACTTGAGCAGTCAAGAATATTATAAGATTCACTTTTTATCAGGAAAGCACAGACTGTGACTCAACAAACCAGGTAGCTTATGTATTAGAAAATATACTGCTTTCCTCATCGTACCCAGCACAATGCACTTCGATCTTAACTGTGTTCCAAATTAGTAATTCTATGCAAAAAAAAGATTCTCTATGTCAGTGAGTTTGGTAGGCACTTGAACAGTTTCTCTGGGGCATAACAAAGATCCTAGATAAGGATTCTCTCCTGAACAATCTCGAATCTTTGTGGTACATAGCAGCTCTCTTCAGAGATATCTCAATGTAGGGACATGAACTGAAAATGTAAAGATGAAGTCATATTTCTTTGGCTGGAGCGATCTCTACTGAAACACCTATTTCAGTAGGTGATTACCTACTGAAATAGGTAATTTCTGAAAGTGCAGAACTTCAATGATCTGATGTGTTTATTCCCATCAGTCTGGGTTGATTTGATTATTGGTAAGAACTTAAAGATCAAATACTGATATGGCTATCTTGTCTTATCAGCTTCAACTTCTTTCTTAGAACTGTGCTTAATTAGCTTTTTGAGTTTATTATGATATTAAACCACCATGGACTTTAAGCCAAAAAATATGTTGCTTAGTCTGATGGTGTTTGTACTGTGTCCACCTGCTGGTTTAAGTCTTAATAATACGTATTTTTTAGAAAAACTATCCACTACTCTTTCGTCACACTGCTCTTCCTCATAATTCTAGCATGCCCATTTTAAATTAGTATACAGTGTGGTAAAAAGATTGTGGTCATTTCTGAGTTTACACAAGCAGGTTAAGACTGAAACTGGAGTCACCAAATACCTAACAAAATCACAGAACTATATCTCTGGGAGGAATCCGGAGAACATATAATCCACTCACATTGCAGGTGAGGAAAAGAAGGTCTTGTTAGGCTAATTGCTTGTTTAGTTTAGTTGGCTATTTGGAAATAAAATCAAGCCCAGGACTCTAGCCCCTCACTCAAGTAGAGTGCAGATTCTCTAACCTACCCCGCCCAAATATTTTATCATCATCATTATCATATCAAACCAGTGGAGAAGATCCAAATAGAAGCAGTGGAGTTTATTTTATGTCACAGAATGGCAATTACCATGTGTAACAATTTTTAATTATACTCATTCAGGATTTTATTGAAATGAGAAGATGCCTCTCCTTCAAAGGTCAATGAAAAATTTTCCTTAGAAAAAATACTAAAATACGACAAATTCTAGTAATCTGTCATTCTGCCCTACTTAACATTTAGCTGTAACATTGATATAAAAATATTAGACATTATGTGGAGAGTTTAGCTTTATATATTTTTCCCCTACAGGGTCAGCTAACATCTTTTGCCATTTTTGGATGTAACAATGACCATCATATACTTGGGTCTGACTACACCACCACAGTCTCTTAAAAGAAATTGGAGTCTAAGGGCAAGAATTCAACCACCAAAAGACAAAACAAATCATGACCAAAACATAGCCAGCAACAAAATCACTGTGCTAGAGAGAGAAATCCAGAAACTCAATTCCTTATTTGATTGTAGCTCAGTGTCATGATGGCTTCCAGACTGAAGTACAGGACTGACTGTAAGAAATGTTAAAACATTTCTATTAAATACATATATAGGCAATTTTGAAAAATGTGTTATACATCTGCCAGTGTTAGAGACGTACTAGGTAGTTAGTTTAACAATTAAATCATGAAATATAAGGATACCTTTATTAGTATCCTTGTTCATAACAGAACAAGGAAAATAATAACTGACAATACTACCACCTTCAAGGCACAATGCTAACCACTGCAAAAATATATATTATTTTATCATCGCAAAATGAATGATTATTATCTTTATTTAATAATAAAAGTTTAGAAAAGTTAATTTCTCCAGAACCATAAATCAGTTGAAATTCAGCCCATAATTGAGGCTCAAACCATTATTTAGTGGTGACTCAATCCAAGAATAATAAAAATCAATTCAGCCAACAAATAAAAAAGACTCATTTAGCCAGTTTTAAGGGAGAAAAAGTCGTGGGAAAGGCAGCTTAACCTGCAGCTGATGATTGAACAAAGCAGAGGCTAGGGAGGTAGAAAATCCACATATAGCTTTGATTCCCCCAAACTTAAGTTGTCTGTCAGTAACCATAGGGGGTCGGTTCCAGGACCCCACTCTCTGCAAATATTCATCTCATGGATGCTCTAGCCCCTTATACATAATGGCCTAGGGCACTGCACACACTCCATCCTTTCCATCTATGGATTCCCAACCATGGATGGAAAATTCTGTTTTCAATCTACACTTGACTGAATCCATGCATGTGAAACACAGCAATAGGGAAAACAGACTATATATTTATTGAAAACAATCCATGTATAAGTGAATGAGTTCAGTTTAAATCCATGTTTTCCAAGGGTCAACTGTAATAGCTACAAAGAATTAAGGGAACTGTGGGTGGATTCCCACTGATCTGAGTTTCCTTGTTATCACGCAGCAGAAGTTGGTGGTCTATGGCTTAGCTATCTATGACAAACCGGTCTTTTCCTTCAATTCTTGGTGGCTCAGTTTTCTTGTGACTCTTTCTTAATACTCAGTGCTTTAAAATTTATTTTGTATGTCATTTCTCACATGAAACATGTGAAAAAAGGTGGAAAAATAATATCACTTTATAGATTAGGACGGCAGGTTCAAAGAGCTTAGGTGATCAGGTTTACATTCCAGCAAATAAATTGGAGAGTCCAGAATGAAACTTAATTGTTATTGAACTTTTAGTTCTCAGTTTTTCTCTCAACCATAGTGTTCCCACTCAATAGAAGAAAATGTTATTGTAAAAATAAGCCTCTAAAATATAGAGGAGCTAAAAAGACTGAGAAATAGGAAGGAAGAGCTGAAAGAAATAAGTGTCTCAAAGAAAAGCTACCCACCAGTTCAGATATCAAAGGAAGTGGATTGAAACTTGGATAAAGTAAAGTATATGAGGTCTGTCCAGAAAAGGGCCAGGCTTTGTGAACATAAGAACAGTTTGTACAACATTGATGTAATCTGGCAGTCAAGAAAAGTGGGCTGGAATATGCATGCATGAACAATGATGACTTCACTGTATTAGTCAGTGGGGGCAGCAGACGCTGTTGAGTGAGTTTATGTACCATGTAGCCATTGCATTCAAAATAACTGAGTGAGTAGAGCAACGAATCTGCATCAAATTAAGTTTGAACATTCCTGCATGGAAACTATTCAGATAATTCAGAAGGCCACAGCTATGGGCAATCGGTGATTGGCAGCTTCATCACAACACTCTCCAATCATGTATCACATCTTGTGCAGGGTTTTTTGGTGAGATATCCAATCACTCAGGTGACTCAGCCCCCTACAGACCAGATTTGGTGCCCTGAGACTTCTTGATTTTCCTAAGAGTAAAATCACCTTTGAAAAGGAAGAGATTTCAGACCATTGATAAGATTCAGGAAAATATGGCAGGGAAGCTGATGGCAATTGGGAGACCTGTGTGAGGTCCCAAGGTGCTTACTTTGAAGGGGACTGAGGCATCATTGTCCTGTGTACAATATTTCTTGTATTGTATCTTCTTCGATAAATGTCTCTATTTTTCATAGTACATGGCTGGATACCTTCTGGACAGACCTCATATTTCTCAGGAAGAGTGCTTAACAAATAAGGCAACTATAAAATGTTATTGGAGATAATTCAACACAAAGAGCACAGTAGGGGAGCAGCCTGATCATGAACCAGGCACCAAAACAGTGCCCCAGCTCTAGTGTCTACAACTTAGTGCATAACCATGAATGAGGCACATGGTTTCTCAGTACCTCAGTACATTTGCATGTTCCTCCATGCAAAGTGCAGATTCTAACAAGTGAATCACAATGCTGTTTACAGGTATATCTTTTGTTTTAGATGATACAGGTTTAGAAGAGCCCACAGGGAAAAAGATTAATGAATCAAATGTTGGCTTCCTGAAACTTTAAGCCTACCAAAAAATGATAAAAACATTAGAAATTCAGAGGAAAATATATTATCCCACAGAAAGTCTCCAAAAATCATAGGTTTGAGGAAATCTGGAATCAGAGGGAAAATACACACGTAGTATAGTAGAAAGCAATTTGACATTACGTACTCAATAGATGAGAAAAATGTAAAAGTTAAATGAGACAAGACTATTAACAGTCCATCTGAAACACTGCATTTATAATGAAGAATTGCATTATCTGCATCATTTACAATTTTCTAATTATATACATTTTATATTTTTGTATTTATATTTATATATTTTATATATTTTCACATACACACACACTAAAAATCTCTTTTGAAATAATATCTGAGAAGACAGTCTTTTGTGAAATGTCTTCATTGCCAGGAATTGTGTCTTGGCAATTCACTGAGTTTTGCAGTCTGTAAATATGACAGGTATTAAGTCTAAGTAGCCTAGTACATGAAATGAATTTTTATTACTTTGTTTTCATGCTGTCCACACTGTGTTCCCAGCAATGAAGATGTTTTGTACAAATTCAGCTGCCATTTAAAAGGTGCACATCACCCACCAACAATTTTAAGTGAGTAACTCGATCGTATGTTACTACACAGTAAAATTGCAGTCAAACAAAAAAAGGCTTTATTCTTTACATTTTTTTTCAGAATTTATTGAGTTTAATGACATTCAGAAATGCAGACTGACTGCAGGATTGGGCCATTAATTCTTCTGAAGCATAAATTTCTTAAATTAACATTTGAGGAGGAAATAATATCACAGAGAAACCCTTATTTTGAGCTGTTGGATTGCTGAAGCCAAATCTGACTTATTTCTAATGTATTATAAAGAGATGTAGAAAAATTACCACTAGAAGGATTCATGGCTAATTAAAATTTTCAAATTGTATAATCTGAAAATTAGTGTTTGCAAGAAAATCTGCCACTCAGCCTTAAACATGGCTCCCTGCGTGTGCGGCTCTAATGAGCTGTTTTTCTGGGCTGTGCAGTCCTTGACATTTGTCATAATCTTCAGGCCACTCAAATATAGCAATGAGCTCTCCGGAAAAGACACCCGCCGTACAAGTTTCTTTCTCTTCTTAAGGTTACATTTTTAAGAGCCATCAGTTATCTGTAGACTACGCTCATCATGCTAATAGTTTCCATAAATACTGTGACAGATCATTCCTCTCTTAATTGTCTAGCAATGAAAGAATAGGCATGTGTCCACAGAGGCTATGAAGAAGGCTATGAGATGAGTTCCCACCTCTGGGTGAGCATGATATGAAAGCCACCGAAGGTGCTTTCCACTAGAATATTCTGTATACAAAGAAGCATGAGGAATTACAGGTAAAAATATAGAACATACACTTGGATATAGGTCACAATAATTCTCCTAATTTTTTAAACAAATATTTCATATCATAGTGTTTATATGGTGGATTACACTGCATTTATCTTAAAACTTCTTCCAGAGAGCTATAGGGACACAAGGTATGTTGTATCATCCCCCTGAATAAAGCCAACTCCTGAATAAGATAATCAATTTGCACTTTCATCATCAGACAGATTTTAACACCTACACTCTTTTTCACTTACCATAATATTAGGAGTTGCAATTACCAGCTAAAACCTGAGTATAGCACTGGCTTTAAATTTTTAATAATGATGATCTTTTCAACCATAGGCAATAAAAAAAGTGGTAAATGCCAGCTAACATTTGATAATGATTGGAGTGAACATAAAATTTTTCAATACTAACTTCTGGAGTTAAAAGGAGTGGTATTAGTAATTACTATACTTACTAATACAGTTATAAGTACCAATTACTATCATTATAAATAATTATTCCAAGACAACAAGCACAAACCAGGATGGCCCCTTCTGATGACCAGCTGGGCCCTGTGCTGAGTCTATGACGTACTTGGCCATATTTCATTATTTCACACTCACGCCGTAGATGGATAGCAGTATCATTATCCCTGCTTGACAGATGAGAAAACTAAGTCTGGAAAATTAAGTAATTTAGTAAAGCAAGGAACTGGAATTTGAACACAGCTGCCCATCTGGCTCAAAGCCTAGGATTCTCCTGCCATGTAGCTGCTGCCATGAATTACAGAAATAATATCGCTCTTTATCTCAAAAACTGATAAGAAAGGGTGTGCTCACTTCCATATCCTTCTCTCTCCGCCCTACCCCGTATGCGTAAATATGCAAGTATAAGTAGAGTTGTAGAAAACAAACATATTGATTTGTGGTCAAAGAGATTGAAGACAATTCTGCATCCAGGAAAATGAACACATTTAGAATTTCATAAATCCTTCTAAGCCACTTCTAGTTCATTCTTGGATCCCTGTGAATCGTGACTCCCTTTGGAACCAGGACCTCAGGACAGCAGGAATAGGAAGAAAAACTTTTGCTTGTGGACACCATAGTGTGCAGTGAGTGAAGCAACTCCCATTCCCATCCCTTGGTTCCTGGAAATGTGAATCCTCAGTACAGGAAGGAGAGTACAATGTATGTATCTGATGCTGATTTAAATAATATACTGCTTCCTGGGGGACACTGCCCTGCCCCAGGGCATTGCCACCTAATGAATGCCCTGACTGAGTCTTCTTCAGAAGGCTCCTACACCATTTTATCAAGTAAGCTGCCTCAGGATGACGGGGAAGGTAAGACCCGTGAACTTCATGAGCAAGGGCCCATTGTTACATTTCTTTTGCTGTGAATACGGTCCTTTATGGGAAGAGATAGCCTGTGAATTACTATGACAGTGAACAAGACATTCCAAAACTTTGCAAATGGTGTTTTTTGCAGAAGCATAGCAGGTAGAGAAAGCAAATCTATATCAAGAGTTAGATTCTATTCCATCAAAAATGAAAACACTGCCCTGGCTGGTATAGCTCAGTGGATTGGGCATGGGCCTGTGAAGCAAAGGGTCGCCAGTTCGATTCCCAGTCAGGGCACATGCCTAGGTTGCAGGCCAGGTCCCCAGTAGGGGACACATGAAAGGCAACCACACATTGATGTTTCTCTCCCTCTCTTTCTCCTTCCTGTCCCCTCTCTCTAAAAATAAATAAATAAAACATTTTTAAAGGAATGAAAAACTGCCTCTTCTATTATGGAAGTGGTACAGTGCTAACAAAATAGCTGGTTGACTACCCTAGCGAACAGTGTTATACTGGAGACTCCATCTCGCTGTTGGCAGATTCGGCACTCAGCTGTGGCTGTAGCCAGGTTAGCCCTAGTGAGTGTTCATGTTGCTGTGCCTGTGCTTACACTCCATCCCTGCTACCGTGGCCACTTTGCTCATGAGCCCATTGGGCAATAACAGGAGTTAGTGGGGAAATGTGAGTTATAAACAAAACAAGTCATCTTATCTAATTCTACTGAAGTCACCAATGGTGACTTCACATGGAACACAGCTATCTTCACATTCTGCTACCATTTGGAGAAATCTATCCATATACCTTTCCCAGATCTTGTCACTGTTTTTCCAGTTGCATTTCTTTCAAATCTTTAGTTCTGAATTACAGCGAGTGAGTCAGGTGCTTATATACTACCATTAATCAGTCACTGAAAGGAGATATGTCCTCCAGTGAGGCAATCATCTTGAGCCAAGGTACCTGGTTGAAGAGCAGAGAGCCATCTGCCCATAGTGCTCCCAGCAGGGGAAAGTTCTTCACTGATGAAGAGGTTCGACAGCACATCTCAGCGCATCATAGCATCCACCACACTTCTTCACTTGCTGAGCAATTTGACATGAAAATATAAATTACAATAAACAGTTTTTAAATGAAATATTAGGTTACTACTGATATTAGCAGTGTCAACATAAGTTGAATTACAACAAGTATTTAAAACTTCCACTATCAACTGACTACTGAGTCCTTAGATTTCTATTCTTTCCAGTTGCAGAGAGACCATTTGCCATGCAGATCATTGTTGGAATGCTGGCCAGAGCTTATTCCTCAGCCTGCTGGCATGTTTCTGTAAAATGAAAAGACCTACATGCACCACTTTTTGTAACCTGGGCTTCCTCCAAATAGTGATGATAGGTTCATTATGAAAACCATTCCTCAGTTCCTTAAATACTCTACAAATTCCCCAACCCTCTTGATAGTTTAAAAATACCACATATAACAAATTGTTCTGCAATTCCTCTGCAGCATGTACTAAATCTGTATGGCAGAATGATTTGTAATGCTATTCTCTTCTTGAAATGATATACTCATCTCAAGTGTGCCTTTATTAACTAGATTAAATCTTAGTATGAAATTAAAGGCTTTCTGAGATTCTCTGCCAGATCAACCATGCTCTCCCAGGCTGTAGGTCCAAGAGAAATGCACTTTCTCGACTCTTCATTGGAAAGGAGGGAGAGCTGTCCACAGACAAAATCCAATGGAATACCCACCTGTCTGTCTGAGATTCTTTTCTGATGTCCACTTAACACAAGTGACCTGTATATTTCTTCACTAAGTCAACCCAGAGAGACTCATGTTATTGCTTTGAAAGAGATTATTTTGAAAATAAATTGGCCTTCAATATTTATTAGTCTACAAAATGACTTCCAAATGATTGGTCATTCAGAAAAGAATCAGTTACTTAAAAGTCATTACTTTTTGCAGAATGTACCTTATAAAATCATGTGAAACATGTCACTGTGACTATATTCTCTTATATTCAAATTTAATTATTGACTCTCTACAAATCATGAAGTTGATAATGTCCTGGACATTTATAGAGTTGTACCTGCAATTATTTGGTTTACAGCAATGGTGGGTGATAGAGAAAACTTGGGTAACAGCCACAGTCTTCAAACATCTTCTCAGACAGAAGCACATTTTCCTCAGGGCCACTGGGTCTCTACAAACAACATTCTTTCTGCCAGGCACTTTGTAATGTGCAATGAACAGTGTCATTTATTTTCATTTCCTCATACTTAATTGCATGCTTCTTGCTTCCAACATTAAGCCAGAAGGCAGGTGGCAGAAGCAATGAACTAAACTGGGAGTAGCTGTTGTAGTTACAATCTCCCTCCCTTAAAAGCAAGCCTACTATTTACAGCCCAGCAGCAGTCACTGGGCTGGAAAACTGTCCCCTTCCACTGAAAGTTCTGACTCTGCAGAAGCTACTGTTAAGGCTAGTGCCCAATGAAGAGAAGGCACCCAATTGACTATATTTCTCAGTGGCATCTGCACAAAAGTTCTGAAAATATTAATCCAGTAATAGATATTAAAACTAAGTATCTGATAAATTATGTAAATTAACTACCAAATGATGTGATAAGAGAAACAGTTGTCAGAATATAGCTTTTACTTAAATAATATGACTCATTCCCAAATACTCTCTTTTAATAAATTTAGAGCAAACCTGCTTAAAACTGGTCATCCTAAGAAACAGGGTGAGCTAGTTGAACAAAATAAATAGCAAATGTATGTAATTATTTATAGACATTTAACAACATTTTCAAAACTAAGAGATATATCAATATGGTGCTGTCCTGTAGCCCCCAAATAAACGTGTTCAATATTGAGCCAAAGTAGATTTTTTCCTTTTTCACCAATGAATGCAACTAATGACTGACTGAGATTTATTGCCTTACCTCTTTCCCCAAATAAAAAACCCTCTTTGTCCTATTGCCATCTTTAAGCAATATGTCATGACATAAGTTATGCTTTTTCAATGATGTCACATGTTGCTAATCAGGTGTCCTTTAGAACCTGAGGACAAATGCTGTATTTCAGCGGTAAAGAGTAATAAATGTCACAAGAATCTGATTTCCTGAGGCCATTTGCTCTTTTTTTAGAAAAAAAAAAGCAATCATGTTGTATGAAATGTGCTTTTGCTTACTCTTGATCACTTTAATACCAATGAAAGGGATATGAAATGAAGAATAGAGCCGGGTCTCCACTCCTGTTTGCTTTCAACACAACACAAGCTCACAGGCCTCCACAGGTCTTTCTCTTTGTCCCCAAATCTGGATTCTGGGAATGTATTATGAATTAAAAGCATTAATTATGTTTCTTTTATTCTGAGCCTTCTCTCTATCCTTTCCTCAGCCTCTATTCCTTCTCTGCTTACTGTTCCCTTCAAGTTCATGACACCAGGGCCCTCTACCTGAGTGTTCTTAGTGTTCACCTTTCACCCAGCTTTCCTATGTCTTCTCTCCAGACGTTGGCAAACCTTTCTTACTCATAGCTCAAATTGTACAAGGATGTTATCACTAAGTAATTATTTGTGAACAAATGAATGACACAATCACAAACACGACCATAAATCTGATACGTGATCATATTTTCACCTGCACATAGCTGCATTATCCAAAATATAAGATGGTTGTTGACTAACAAGTTCTGAATTTTGGACATGCTGCACACCAAATTTGGAGACTCAAATCCATATTAAATTCCCACAGCAAAGACACCTTTCAAATGTGGTGTCTTCCAGAGTTACTTGGATTTGGACCCCACATTTTCATAAAATGTCTGTCAACATCTCTTGGAACATACTATGAGAAACATTGGCTTAGAAGCTACAAGTTTAAGCAATTTTCAGATAATAATTTAAAAGCAATCAATAGTTATATTTATGCAAACACAGGGCTAATAAAGCAAATCAAAAATACATTCCTAGTATGATTTACAATATTAATTTGAATAATGTATTTTAATAACTATTCAAAAAACAGTCATAAATACTTGATATGTTTATATTCTGACTTGCAAAATCTAATTTAGCTAGAGTGTTAGCTTCATTTAAGCCTCAGTATCAAAGACCTTTTTTTGTTGGTAAATTCCCTTTGAGGCAGGTTAGAAAAATAATGCTGGCTGTTTACAAGCTTACTGTTAGTCTACATCTTGTGCTAATTTTTAAAATCTTTCCATGATTTGTTGGATGGTAGATTTTTTTATATAAATAAAATCAAGGTCACTAATTTGTAAAATTTTGGAATGATCATTTTCAGTATATTTGATGATGATTTTTTACTTTCTCAGATAAAAGATTCCTTTATTCACTTATTTAATAAATACATATTAAGTATATATTATATGCCAGGCATTGTCCTGGGGTCTTGAATCTATTAGTGAACAAAGCAGACCAAGATTTCTTCTTATAGAACTTATATTCTAGTAGTAGTGGGAGAGTGTGGACGATGGCTATCAGTAAATAGGAAGCATAGTAAATAGGCAAATGATAGAGTTTATCACAAGACTATAAGTACAGGGCAAAACATAGATCAAGATAAGTGATTGGAAAAGCTGGAACAGAGGAGGGGTTGGCTGAAATTTTAAAGAAGGTAGTCGCCATGGGTCACTTTGGAAAGTTGATAGTTAAGTTAAAATATGAAGTTGTAGGAGGTGGATAACTAAGGGAAAAGCACTATTATCAGAGGGAACAGAGAGTTTGAAGACTAAGACAATACCTGGCATGTTTAAGACAAACGAGGATAGAACAAATGAAGACAAAATGAATAGAACAAATTTAACAAGATGGAAAAAAGTGGAAAATAAGGTCAAATAAGAAACAGAGGGATAAAAATTATAATTTTATATTCCATCGTAAAAATGTTGGCTTTAACTCTAATGAAGTGAGGAGCCACTGGCAGGATTTTGGGAGATGAGTAACGTGACTAATTCAATTTTATAAGAATTAATCTGTCTGCTGTGGAGAACAGAGTGCAGAGACACAAGAATAAAAGCAGAGAGGCAGGCAAGGAAGTATTGTAAGAGTGGAGGTAGTAAAAAAGTGTCTGGACTCTGGGCATATTGTGAAGATAGAGCCAAGGGGGTTTCCAGAAAACTTGCTGGTAAACTGTTAAATAAAGAGAAGCTTTAAAAAGAACTGCAAGGTCTTTTTCCTGCATATTCTGAATAAAGTTGCCTTCAAAGGAGATAGGAAAACTTCTCAGTAGAGAGAATTAATGGACAATCAGCAGCTTAGTTGTGAATATTATGAGTTTGAGTTGTCGTATCTGTCATTCACCACACAGAGACATCACAGAGTGTTTGGATGTATAAGTCTGCAATCCAAAAAGAGTTCTACCCTGGAGACATCAATTTGAGAACTATTAGCATGTAGGTGATTTTAAAGATAAGAGACTAGATAAGATCACCAAATATGTAAGTGTAAATGGAGAAGAAAAGATCAAAGAACAAAAATTAAGGACCTACAATGTTAAGATATTGCGAAGGAAAAAATAAACAAAGAGCAGGAAACTGAGGAGTAGCCAGTGATATAAGCACACGTAAACAGATCAATGTCCTCAGAGCCACGTGTGAGAGTTTGCCCATAGAGCATGCAATCAAAGGACAAAGAACCAACAAACAAATTTAGCAACATGAAGGATTTTGTTGACGTTGGCAAGAGTCACTCAGTCGTTTGGTAGGAGTAAAAGTTTGACACGGATGGGATTAAGAGAAAATGTTAACAGGAAATTGAAGGAAATCAAATACAAGCCACTATTTGGGAAGTTCTCTTTCATAAAAACAGCCAAGAAATGATTATATAAATTAAGCAAATATAATGTTTAGAATTTTTATGTTAGAGAAAAAGAACAGCGTACTAGTATAGTAATGAAATGATCCATCAGAATGCAAAAACATTAATGATAGAGAAAGAGAAAATTGCTGGAAAAGGGCCCTTGAAGTTGGTGAAAGGAAATGGGGCTTTTGCCTAAGACTTTCTTTAAAAATATTTTACAAACTTCCATGTGACTTTGGTTTCTAGACATCTTGTCTAGAAAACATCTTTGGTTTCTAGGCATTTCCAGAGGCGTTTGGGTGAAATCAATGAACGAGAGTATATATTTATAACATTTTGTTCCTCTTTAGAAGGTAAGAACTCCTTAGGGAATGCATTCTTCCTACTTGGAATTTGGTAATCACATATAATACTGAGAACTAATAAATACTTATAGCTTTGTATAGAATTTATAAAAAGTATAAGAAAATTGATGGTTATTCATCATTTTTCAAAACCACAGGTTATATGCACAGAAAGATAGTAATCAAGACAGTATTTGGATAAATACTAAAACACAGATCAGCTTCTGTTAATGGCTGAAAATAACGACCTCAATGCATTTCAGTTTAGTTCTGTGAAGAATGGGGGACAGGTGGTCCGATTGACTCTAGTTTGTTACATGTAGTATCTCTCTCATCTTGACCACATGGCTTACAGGTGGCAGTGGTAGGGGAAAAAGGCGGGTATGGTATGTGGGGAAGGCACAATTTCTTTCATCTGCCTGAATCTCAAAGTGACATATCACTTTTCCTCAAAGTCCATTGATTAGAACTATTCACATGGCCCTACCTAAGTTCCAGGAGGGTAGGAAATGCAATTGTGTGCTCAAAAGATGCAGTGGGTTTGGTTGGCATATATCTAGTCTACCACAAAACATATATAATTTTATGCCTTTGTCTGAATTGTTAGACCTAAATATTTGGCTCATACACGAACATGCAGATGATTGAATAACATGCCAATATTTTAAAGTCTGTTGTAACCATTATTCAAAGATGACTCTGTATCACAGTGTGATATGCCAGTATCAATTAAATTATTGATTTAGATTCTAAAACTCAACTAAAAAAGAAGCTCCACTGACAACATTCTAAATTCCGGTAGTAATGTACTGGTTAGTAAAAAAATTAAACAAAATACATGTAAAATTACATAGATCTTTTGGAGACTGAATAATGATGTGTGGATGGATATTTCTGGGAAATGGAATACAATATAAAAATAATTCAGGATTAAGAAGAGGGTGGGAAATACAAACAGTCTCTAAAAATAGTATACAAAGTAAATAGTATACAAAGGAAGTATAGTCTGGAGAGATAAGCTCAGGTTGTATTACAAAAGTCTTTGTACAGTGTTCTACAATAATAAATGTTTAATTTTGCACTGCCACATACCTTTTCAAAACAAAGCATAAGACCTGTGTAGCATACCATGTCTACTTTGAAAACCATGCTAATCTGCAAATAATAAAAAACAAAGATAATGTGTTAGGATGCATAATATTCCTATCTCATTCTTTACAGTTTAATATACATTCAAAGAATATTTACCACAAGTATCTCTGCATTCCAAATAAGGAAACCATAGCCTAGCAAATAGTAAATTCTTTAACTAGCCCCCTTTTTGTGAATCAATACACTGACTGGCAGTGTGGGATTCCATCAATTATAATGTAAATATCTAAGAAAAGCCACAACAGATGGTAAACCTTAACCCTCACTCCAGCATGAACAAGACTTTTTTTCCTTTCCCACTTTCCTGACAAGGTGATAATTGATGGTCCTTTCTTCTACAAAAGGAATTTGACTGTAATGGACATTGGAGATGAGAGACTCACTGATAACCCATCACAAACCTTATTCATGACCTGAGATAAAGTCCATTAAGCAGAAGATAATTGGATGGATCAAACTCCAAATGCTGCTAAGACACAGACTCAGCGGGAATGGCTGAGCACAGGCTTCTCAGGTAGGTAGACCCAACAATTGAATGAACTTTATTAGATCATTTTAAAAGTTCTTATTAGGTTAAAGAAATTTCCCCTAATTCTCCCTGCTGATCACAAGTATAAACCCTTGAAGTGATGCAAGAGAGGACCAAAGAACTCTAAAATGTGGTAAGAAAAAGGTGAGAGAAATCCATGGCCCCCAAGACTTACCTGTGTATTCTAAAAGTTTTACTTCTTACATTAGGTCTTTGATCATTTTGAGTTAAATGTTGCCCATAGCATGAGGTAGCATGTCCAAATTCATTTTCTTGCATGTGAATATCCAGTTGTCCAGGCACTAAAATATAAACAAAAAAAATGGATGAATTGTTTTTATCAAAGGCAAAAATATTGTGCTTCCAAAGACACTATCAATAAACTAAAAGGATAAGCCACTGAATGGGACAAAATATTTGCATATTATATATATAATATAAAATATAAAAATGCATTTATTTAACAGACTTATACCTAGAATATATAAATAACTCTTGCAACTCAATGGAAAAAAGACAAATAAGCCAATATAAAAATAAGAAAGGGTTGGAATAGATTTTATCCAAAGATATACAATGGCCAATAAAAACATAAAAATATGCTCAAAATTATTAGTCATTAAGGAAATGGAAATCAAAACTACAATTAGATATCACTTCATACTCCGTAGAATGGCTAGAGTCAAAATTCTGACACAATAGCAGTGTCGGTAAGGGAATAGAGAAACTGGAACCTTTAAACACCGTTGGTGTGAGGCAAAATGTCACAGCCATTTTGAATGACGTGCTGATAGTTCTAAAAAAAATGGAACATAGTGTTACTCTTTGACACAGCAATTCTATTTCTAGGTGTATATTCAAGAGAAATTAGAACACTTGCTCACACAAAAGCTTGCACATGACCATTTATAGCTGCATCATTCATAATAGCCAAATATTGGCAACACTCACATGTCTACCAACTGATGAATGGATAAACAAAATGTGGTATATTCATACAATGACATTATTCAGCCATACACTGAACGCAGTACTGATAATATGCTGTAGCATGGAAGAACCTTAAACACATTTTGCTAAGTGAAAGAAATATATCACAGAAGACCACATATTATATTATTCTATTTATATAAAGTGTCCAGAAGGCAAATCTATACAGATAGAAAGGAGATAAGTGAGTGCTTTGCTAGAACTGAAGTGGAGGTGTAAGGGAATAAAGGAATTGAGGGGTGGTGGCTAAATAATATGGGATTTTCTTCTAAAGCAGTGACAAAGCTCTATAATTCATTATGGTGATGGCTGCACAATATTATAAATATAATAAAAACTATTGACTTGTATAATAGCAAGTATACTGAGTAAATTGTATGATATATGGATTACATCTCAGTAAAGCTATTACCAAAAAAGCAGGAGTTGTTGTACTAATATTAATACAGTTGATTTCAGAAAAAAACATTACTAGTACAGAGGAACATTCTGCTACAATGATAGCGGAACATACTATTACAAAAAAAAGATCAATCCGTCAGGAAAACATAATTATCTTCAATGTGCACATATCAAACAAAAGAGCCTCCAAATACATGAAGCAGGAATAGAGCTGAGAGTAAAAATGGACAAGTCCACAATTATGCTTGGAACTTCCCCCCCACCCTTAGTTCCTGACCGAACTGGACAGAAAAGCAGCATGGAAGTGGAAGATCTGAACAAGTACAAACAGCAAGTAGCATCTAATTGAAATACACAGAGCACTTCAAACAATAGCAAAATATATTTTTTGAAGAGTCCATGAATCATTTACCGAGACAGAACATATCCTGGGCCACAAGATGAGTTTCAAGTTTAAATAACTTGGGATCATACAGAGTATGTTCTCCATCATAGTAGAATAAAAATAGAAATAAGTAAATAGAAGGAAAACAAGAAGATTTCTGAACACATGGAAAGAGACATACTTCTAATCATTCTATGGTCAAAGAGGAAGTCTCCAAAAATTTTAAAAATACATGGACTAAGATGAAAATGAAAACTAAATGTATCAAAATATATAGGATGCAATTTAAGCAATGCTGAGAGGTAAATTTATAGCACTGAATGCTTACATTTAAAAGAGGAAAGGGCTCATATCAATAATCTAAGTTACTACTGAGAAACCAGAAAGAGTAGAGCAAAACCAAGCCAAAGAAAGTAGGCAGAAAGAATACAGAAAGGAACAGAAATGAATGAAATTGGAAACAGGAATACAATAGATAAAATCAATGAAACAAGAAGCTGATTCTGTAAAAAAAAAAACACAGTAAAAATCACATTCTTTATTTAGTAAGACTGACAAGAGTAAAAGTGGAGAAGGCATAAATCCCCAGTGTCAAGAATTAAATAGGGGATATCACTACAGATCTTGCAGCTTTTAAAAGGTTTAAAAAATGAATATTGTCTTCCTATACTTATGGAGTTCTACTAAATATCTAGTCTGTTTGGTACACATTACATAAATAAACAGTTTAAAAAACAGGAAATAATGCGAGTAGCAATATAGCTATGTATGATAAAAAAAATACCTTAGGGTGATATGTCCAGATAGTGGCTTCAGATGGTGAGGCCAGGATTGATATTTAAACTAAGAGCTAAATGGAGAGAAAGAAGGAGCCTGGTGAAGCTCTAGGGAGAAGGAGAACCTTGCAGACAGAGACGGCAGCTAATGCAAAGGCCCTGAGGCATGGAAGAACCTGGTGTGTTTGAGGATGAGAAAAAGGTAAGTGTGACTGGAGTCTGGTGAGCAGGACAGACACTGGTAGGGTGGAAGAAATGTTACTAGGGGCCAGGTCAGATGGGACCTTCTAGGCCAAGAGAAGTCATCTGAGTTGTGATCTTGCATGAAGGGGAATTGGGAGTCTGCTTAAGCAGGGAAAGGACTTTCTCTAAACCAAATTTTAAAAGGATGGCTATGGTTACTTTTGGAGAATGGACGGTGGAGAGACAAGACTGGAGGCTGAGACAAGTTAAAAGCCTATTGCTGTAGAGGTGGTAGTGGCTTGGACCAGGCTTTTTATGTGGAAGTAGAGAGAACTAGACAGATTCAAATATATTTTGACAGGTGATAACTTTTTCCTCCAACATCAAATTTAGACTGAGAAATACCACTACTAAGTTTTTTTTCCCTCTGCACAGACTTGCTAACAATGCAGTGAGTGCTTTTGTGTTTTCCTGTCTGCAGTTATTGTGTGTTTTCCTGACTTCACGGTTCATATTGATGCAACACCAAAAGAGAAGCAGTGTAATAAGAATTACATTTATCACCACGAAAGAAAAGGTTCTAAATGCTTGCAAGAGCATTTCAGCACTTCTACACCAATTTTAGCACTCCGTTTAAGTTGACAATTTTGGTTTTTATTGTACAAAATTTATAAGTGTTTGAAACATCTGCTTTTGCACAATTGGATTATCTGGTTTGTGTCCTAATTCTAGAATAGCACTTTATATAGTAAGATGGCATTACAGTCATTAAAATGTTACATGTATGTAAACATTTTTTGGTTTTATCATTACTCTTATCAATGAAGACTTATTTCACGTTCACATGTATGGGATGATCATTTTCATAAGGAAAAAGAATAAATAGAGATTACTTCAGAAGTATCAAAACTTCATTGTTTTAAACAGACTCAGTTAATATTAGTTGTGCTGAAAAATACTGTTATAAACCCTTTAAATGACAGTCATTAACAGAATAATTTTGATTTTCATAGCATATGATTTTGTAAGTGATCTAGCTGTTAAAAATCTACACGTGTAATCTGACTCAACAATAATATGGTTTTTCTGAAATGATTCAGACATGTAACTCTTCTTAAATCAAGAGTGGTGATGTTCTTTACTTCCTTTTATGTCGCAGGCAGGCATACGCTGGCTGAGACAACAGCTGACCTGAGCATTTACAGCTACTCTGAACATGATCATCTCCTACTTCCTGGTAGTTAGTACTAGAAATTGGACAGAGGAACTGGCCTTCCACAAAGCCTGACACAGACATTTTCGTGCTCATGAATTCTGTCAGTTCTAGTCCTTTCATCCATGAAGAAGGGAATGACTGCTCTGGGCCGTGTATCAGAGCCAAAAGCTTAATACGCTACCAAGTGACATTCTTATTATGTTTTAAATGCTTTCCTTACATTTCCCAATTCGATGATGCTTAACAGGGGAAAAATTACTTCCTTCGTTGGAAGTTTTAATTAATAATTATACTGAAACCAAACTTAGACTTTGATACATTTTAACAAAGAAAAGTCTTGAGGTTGACAGAATTCTCATTTTCAGATTTCATTCTAACTAAAGGAAAATTCTCTTGAAAAACATCTCAGCAACGAGGCTTTGTGTTCACAGGACACTGTTAAGATATGACTAGATAGGAAGGAACATTCGGCTGTGTTTTATACTCATACCAGCAATCTGGAACCATGTGGCTAAATTAAAGAAGACCTGTGTTTCAAAAATGATATGCATTCTTATATTCCCATTCCACATTAATAATAGGAAAAATCAGGGATTCTAGCTACTGCTATCATTCTTTTATTTGCTAATTTGATGCATATTTGTTGATATACTTTTGTTGAAATATTAGATGCCAGGCGCTGTTCTGGGTCCTGCGCATACAGCTATGAATGAAACAAAGTCCTACCTTCCTAGATTTTATATTCTAGAATCCACCAATATAGCAGGAAAAGGTCATATTCTCTATTAGGCTCACAAAAGTCCTTGACATTAATTGGCCCCCAGCTGAGCTCCCATGAGCCCCTTTTTGGAACTCTTCTCTCCTGGGGGCATGCACGATCAGGAGGATGGGAGCTGCTGGTGTCTCCAAGAAAACCTGATGACTGACTATTGTCACTCCTTGGTCTCAGCTGCCCTAAAACTTGTCTGCAAGAGCCCCTGCACGCTTCCGCTACAGTCTCGGCAGCTACTGCTGGAGCAGGCTCACCACCACAGCCACACTTGGTCCTCACCAGGGAATGCAGTATTCTAGGAATTCTAACCCTGCCCACCTAACCAACCTTACTTACCAATATTCTCCCACCCACACAGCCAGCTCCAGTGCACAGATTCCTTGGGTTTCTTTAAAGCTTCTTAGCTCTCTCCAAAATCATGGTCTCTGCCTGGACTCTTCTCTCAGATCCTCACATTCCTAACTTCTCGGTAACCCAAATCTCAATTCAGATATCATGTCTTCACAAAGGCTTTTTTTCGTGACATTATTAAAATGTGAGTCCCCTTCCACATTCTGTTTTCTTTACTTATCACTATC